TACCTAGTCGCGATGACCCGTTTGCTTTTGTCCTTCACCTTGTAAGTCACTCTTCGGCTCGTGATTTACAAACTTCTCTTCCTCTCCCAACATCCCACGTGAGTTGTTAAACCAGTAGGCCGATAGAAAGTGTAGTCTATTGCTTAATTATTACTAATTATTATTAATACTAACAATAATTATTAATCATGATAAAATACTATTATCAATTACTATTAATTATTAAGATTTGCGAACCAGTCCCTTAATGCAAGAATACATTCAGTTGTAGACTTTTAGTATACCCAACACCAGGTCTGTACAAAAAAAATACGTCCGACACGAGAGCCTCAATTTACTGCATTTTCTCCACAACAGCTAAAAAATGTGCATGTGATAATTAGAAAACAACAGGTAAAAAATAAATGAAAAACAAATGAGCAATAAGCAAAAGAATATTTGAATAAAAATTGATTAAAAAAAGGTTTTCATTTTTGTCTTTTCCGTTTTAGTTCAATTCTCTGCTCAGATGTCATGACATTGTTTTTCTAGAAAATTTTTGTTCTCACTTTTCTAGGTTACTAACATCAAAAGGGCGATGAGCAAGGTTCAGATTATCGTTTGCTGTAGTAAATATTATCTAAAGGATTTTCGTTATTAAGCTAAGGCTCCACGAAAAGAAGCGCTCGCCAGTGATAACTATCGTGCGATCCTATCGAGCCGCCATGTTTGTTTTGCATGTTGACATTTAAAAGCTCGCGCTATGTTCGCACCCAGATCTCGTGCGCTCAAAAACCTCTACGAAGCCTCCTTAATATCTGAACATTGCATTTCCCGTCATCATTCGTTTACACCTAGGAAGAGTATCATATATTTTTTTTAATTATCTGGACACACGTTCAATGAACAATGCCATCAACGTTTACACATTTCCTCGTTACAAGGAAATTTGTGCTTTGAAATTTTGCTCAAAACCAAACTTTTTTGAAAATTTGGTTTGTATTTATACTCTAAAACAGTTACATGACGTTTCGAAGATGTCTATCTCCGGCTGTCACAAAACATTGACCCCCTCTTAAATTTACTTAGAAAAATGAACCTACAAATTCCTTGTTGATTGAAATTCATTTTTCCTCGGGCTGTTATAAAACAGTCCGTGAATTGGCCAATGAATAAACTATTTTGAAATACCGGAGTTGTTCTTTCTTTTTCGCGTGCAAACCAAGGGAAGACAAAGTTTTTAAAACATTTGACGAGAATTTCATAGGGCTCAATAGGGAGGTTACCTTGCCGCATCGTCGGCAAGAATCGTCGGCCAGAGTCAAGACGCGCCGAGCTAGGTGACCTCGCCCTCGAGTGAAATAATTTACCAAATGTAATAATAAAAGTAGCGAGCCTGAAGAAACGCATATTTTTCATTGCTGAGATCAAAGTGCAATGATGTACCTTAACTGATACTTACGGTATCAAACCATTGATGTGAGCCTAATTTTTCTGTCGAGGTCCATGTGACCTCACATAATGAGCGAGTTTTTTCCTGTTTTTGTAGTAACAAACTAGTGAGCATCTCTGCACGAACTGAGAAAGTAAAAACTTGTATTTGATAAGCTTACGTTAATGCAAATAGTAAATAAGTTGTCTTTTTTCGATTGAAGCAACCAGAAAGAATTCGCCAGGTGCGCTTACGGTGTTTACGCGACATTTTTTGAACGTTTCATGTAAGAGTACATGATCTTTTGAGGGTCACAGATTTCGTGTAAATATTTGACCCCTAAACACATTGCATACTCGTCCATTTAACGTCTCTAGTTTACAAAGGTTTTAAAACGCTTCACGTGCACGCAGAAAAGGCCATGAAATTCAGCGAAAATAATAGCAGATGCAGATGCCATTTGCAATTTAAAAAAACCGGCACATAAAATAACAGAAGGTTGAAGAACTTTCTAGAAGTGTTACCTTGAAAAAGAAAGGTAAACAGTATTTTTGTACTTCAAGAAAGGTCACGTAGTCACGCTACAAATATTATTTCTGCGTGAAATTTCTTGATGGTGAAAAGTGGGAACAGCATTTTCCTGTCTTGTTTTCTGGAAGCATAGCTCAGTTTACAAATTTCATGGGGCTATTGATATTTCCTTTCAAAAGAGGGGGTAGAGTCTTCCGTCATCCACAGTCTGGAAAAGCCGAAGTTGTTACACACGGGAACTTAAAAGTCAAAAAGCACGCGACATGTGACTTTAAAATTTCCTTTCCTGTTGCAGTCTCCTTATAGTAAACTGTGCGATAATGCTAATAAACAATGACTAGACTAGACTAATGAGTGTTTTGTTCCATACAAAAGCCATATTTGCTGATTTCAGCAACTCTCCATAGTGATAAACGACAGAAGAAAGAAACGCTACGATTTTCCCATCAACATTTCGCCCACATACATCTCTCTAAACGTGAAATTTTCCGTTCCTAACAACACTCTCGAAAGTTGTTCACATTTTTTTGGCTTCCTCGATCAATCATCTTGTATAAAGAGATATAGAATGCGGGTTTATTTGCTCAAGTGACCGCCTAGGGCCGGAATTGCGTGACAGGTGTAGTTGATAGAAGCTTGTCACAGTCGCAGATTTTAAAAGGCATCCAAGACAAAAATACGGCAGTACCCAAATATTTTATTGACGGTTTTCAGAGATGAAATGATGGATTAAAAAGGGGAATTAAAATTAGTGTTGCAGCTGTCTGGTAAGGGGAGATAATTGACCTCAATATATATCAAATATTTGGATGAATCAAATAGTCTAAAAACACAGTAATTTATTTCCCTTTGTTGATTAACAAGCCGTCAACCAAATTGATTGATACTCAAGTCGTACTTTCATTAAGGATGTACAATATGTATGCAAAACTTCAGAGTAATCAGGCAAATATCATCGCATTGAGAGCTTCATGCATTTCACCTATTTTGAGACAATTTCCATAGTGAAAACCAAGAAAACATGGGGGGGTCGGTCTATTTCGCCCCGGAGTTTTGGGGTAGACCCTTTAAATTCTGACAACTAAAAATAAGGGGACCTTTACATTGTCTTGATCTTGAGCTGAAAGAAATTTAACCCGTATGATGATAAACCAATAGACTGCTCTGGCAAGTCTTACAGAAACGCCACAAATAATTTTCTATGCAAATTCTAGATGTCGATCTCTTTATTTACAAGCCACGAATGAATGTAAAACAGATTCTGTTGGTTTCTAAAGAAGCTTTCAAGGTAATTTTGGGACTATTTCAGGCTGGATGGCAAATGATAAGTAGTTTGTATGTCGAAAAGCTTGTATTAGGACCGAATTTGTTTATCATGAAAATTTTTTTGTGTCAACTCTACTCATCAAGTTCTTCAAGACATTTTAATTAAAAGACATCACTTGTGCTCATGAATCACAAACGCCCTCCGCGTTCATTAGATATCTGAATTTTTGGGTTGTGGAAATGCAACATATGGCGAAAAAGTTTATATTGTAATATATATAAAAATATTGTATGATCACTGACACGGTAAGTTTATTTCGAAGTTCTCTTAGTAAATTATTGAGTTAACACGTGAATAGGAACCCATTATCACAACCTATTAAAAATTTTTACCAAAAGACTCATCAAGTTCTTCAAGACATTTTAATTAAAAGACATCACTTGTGCTCATGAATCACAAACGCCCTCCGCGTTCATTACATATATGAATTTTTGGGTTGTGGAAATGCAACATATGGCTAAAAAGTTTATATTGTAATATATAAAAAAATATTGTATGATCACTGACACGGTACGTTTATTTCGAAGTTCTCTTAGTAAATTATTGAGTTAACACGTGAATAGGAACCCATTATCACAACCTATTAAAAATTTATACCAAAAGACTCTCTTTGAAAGGTTTTTTTGGTATAAATCTTTAACGTTATATATAGGTTTTCAACACCTAATATACTAGTTCATAACGCATTTGTGGCATTTCTGTTTCTTTTGTCATAACGCAGAATTTCACGAAAACCTTCTGATTTTCCTTCATGCCAAGTCATCTGTACTGTCGATTGATTTTTCGTTGGCAAGTTTTTTCTTTAAATAGCAACTTCCCTCACAACAAAACTGGCCTTGATGTACTCGAATTTTTTTTTCCACTGACACTGCAGTCGCAAAATTGTCCCCGGGAAAACTTCTCAAGTTACACTTCCTTTATTATTAGTAACTCTTTCCTCGTACTCCTAATGGCCACCAAAAAGATTTAACTCGCAGTATTATAATTTTTCTAGGAAAATATACGATTAAGAGAAAGGGAGACAGGAAATAAACGAATTTTTTTGTTTTAAAGCAAAAATGTCACGGCTGAATTACGGAGAAATGTTTGACAGACGGTTGCGCAGAGTTGATTTTCAGATCTTAGGCGAACGATTTAGAACGGCGTACGTTTAATACAACGTTTTCCACGATTGCAATACTAGTAACATGAAAATTTTTTCAGGCCTTGTGATTTGGCTCATTCTACAGCATCCATGGTTTCAAAGCTTTTAGTTTTAGCTTAGCGTTTCACGTGAGTCTTGTTTTTTTTCATACGGAATATTGGGAATTTATTCCAATTATAAAACAAAGACTTGTTTATCTGGACGACTCAGGTTGCCCTTAGTAACAAACTCAAACCACCGGGTGTTACTGCAAGCTTATATAGATGTAAGTGAATGCCCATTGCGCAATCAGCTCATCAGAAACTATTTAGAAAATGACGCCTCTTTGGAGTTACGGGAAAGGTAAAGCGGAAATTGGGTCATATGATTTTATAACTAAAACAACTTCAAACCTGATTTTTCACTCGTATTCCTTTCTGCTCTCATAAAACTCAATCATAGCACTGAGACATCCATTGTTGCAAAAACAAAGGAACGTGCTGGTTTGCACGTCAGAAAATTGGGAGCAGCTGGAATCGCTCAAATTCTATTGGTTGTAGTCAACATTTTAGTTGTTCATAAGTCAGTTGCATCAGAGGCCAGGCTAAATATCTCACATCAGCGACGAGATCTCCTCTCAACATGTTTTTTGGTCTTCTTTATCCCCTTCTATTTGAGCTCTCTGCTCTAATTCCAGATCCAGCCTTTTCACAAGGTTTGTAAGATGCGTTTGAATCGTATCTCTTATTGTTTTCAGTGTTAGAACATTGATGTTGGTGTAATTCATTTATTCATAGTAATTCAACTCAGAGTCTGGATGTAAGTCTGATGTTCGCTGAATTCTATAAGTCTGTTTTTTTGTCATATTTTCACTTGGCTAGTGATGGGCATTGAATGCTCTTTGGAAACTTGTTTCGACAATTTGCTTTATAACTGATAACTTGGAACGCTGCTAAATGGCACAATCTCAACGTTCTTTCATGTTTATCTGCTGTTATGAAGTCCCATAGTTGAAGTCAATCTGTTGCCCTCTAACGTTCAGCACTTCAACTTGGTTAAATGCAAATAACACTCCATCACTTCACATTGAGAAATGATTTTCAAGACTTAGCTAGAGTATTGATTAAAAAAGCCTTTACTCAACTTCAATTTAAATTATAAATGTAGACAAAAAAACAGCTACACTCCTTTAAACTTGGATAAAACTGCGGAGGTCTACAGGCTTTCGACCTCGTCATGGTTTTACTCAAAATAATTTATCAAAGACTGCTAAAATTGGGTTCGCAGAAACATTCGATTCCTATGTCTATCAGACAATTGATTTATGTTCTTCCTTTTCCGAAAGAAAATTTAAAAGCAATATGTTATAGTAAGATAATCAATACGGAGGAACAGAAACGAATGATAACATTACGGCACCGAAGAGCTAGAAATGCTTAGAATTTAAAGGTTTGTGACTTTATTTGCAAAATTTTATTTTGAAATGTTACCTCAGTAAATAAATATATTAAAGTCATGTAGAATGCGCGTATATTTATGGTAAATGACACGGCAGATGTTGATAACTGCGAAGATAAGACAATACAACTTTATGTTTGAGAAGTTTCGAACAACTATTTAATAAATTAAAATCGAAATGACTCGTTGAAATGGCTGCGAAAAATCTATCCGCGATATTTTAAGTGTTCAACGAAGCGATTTTCTTTTTCCACCAAACTAAATTTTTCACATGTTATCCTTCTCTCTTTATCTTGCAAAATATCGCCTGATTTTACCCAACTTGATCGAGGGCCTCCGGGGCTAGGCACCCAACAGAGTTTTGCGACAACACTGGAGGAAAATTTTCAATTGAAATAGGCGGAAGTCGAGGGGCCTAAGATGTTATCGACAAAATGACATCTGTTTTGCTTCCCAAATTTATGAATTCTAAAATTAAGATAGGTAACATGGTAACGGTGACGCAAGATTCCTCCAACCTTTCAGGTATTTGGAATGGATAGCTGCTAAATAAACACGAGGGAGCTGACATAATTTGTCTCCAATTAGATCAGAAAATTCATGGGGAATTTAAAATAATTTTGTCATGAGTAATTGCTGTTGAAAATATAAGCCTTTAGAAGTCTCCACACTGCTTAGTCATGCTGACATGCGTACCATAGTACTTTCTAGAACATTTCATCAAGTCACGCAGTTATAGATTACGTAATACTACTAAAATATCTCAATCCTTTTTACCATTCTCAGTTATCTCTTCGCTGTAATTTACAACATCCTAATACGGCACAAGAAGGAGGGAGGCTGACACTGATTGGCCTTGAAATTATTCTTAAAAAGTTTTTTTTTTAATGGCATGCCTCTAATGTTGCAATTTAATGAAGCTAATTTACTACTGACCATAGCAAAATGGTTTTTTACCTCCCTAAATAGCGGATTTAGCCAAATGAATGTTAATAAGAGTAACGTAGATATAATAAACATCAATTACTTTGAATGGTATGGCGGGGGGAGGGGAGTACTGTTCTATAGGCCACTTAATCCTCTCTTCTGACCAGCTAGTCCCTTCACCACCACTCCCTCCTTGAGTAGTGCCATCATATCCTTTATTAATGAACTGTTCCTCTTTCCTATTACAGTATCAAACCCCGTGTATCGCGAGGGCAACCGCGCCTCCTCCACAAGAACCTTCCTGAGACGTACATTCATTAAACACGAGTTTCATCACTTGAATGTCCCGCTTGTTGGAACAGTGGCAGTGTCTGATGTGTTTGACTGCACGTTAGAATGTCTCAGCAATCCGTTCTGTTTTTCTGTAAACCTGGCCGCCTTCAAAGAAGCCCATGGAAAACTTTGGTGCGAATTGTTGTCATCTGATAAGTTCAGAAACTCCACAGAGTATAAAGGGAATAAAAGTTCTCATCATTTTGCCATTGAGGTAGGAAGCATTTCTTAATTTTGACAAATAAACGTGTTAAAAGTTTGACAGCTTTGTCAAGATCGTAGAGAGAAGGCAGTCTGGCTAATTAAAGCCACTGCAAATGGTGTCGGTCTGTTGTCGTATTCATTGTGGTGACAACCGTATTTCTATGGCATGTTGAAAAGTATTCAAACATACAGTTTCTCGTGCTAAAATGAATCCGGACCGGATTGACGGAATAGCGCGGATTGGCGGATTCAAGTACCCCCTATTCACCACATATTTACAGACTTACAGCTGCGTTTCAAAATACATGAACTATTTTCCTACTTTGTTTCTCTACAGTCACCTTGCTCTTCGTCACCTTGTCAACACGAGGCTACCTGTGTCACTAACTATAGAGATGGCTCATTCGGATGTCGCTGTGCAAAAGGCTTCAAAGGAGAATATTGTGAAAAAAGTGAATAGTTATAGTTTGGCATAGTTTTGTGACTGATATACATCCAACAGCATTAAATGCTATAATTCTCAAGTGACTGCTATAAATTTTTGTGCTTTAACTTGCAGCTCGAAGACTTTTTAAAATAGTTAGCGAAAATATGTAACTTAACGTAATGGATAAAGATGTTGAATCTTTTGGTGCTTTAGTTGATCAAACATCTGACAGCGAAGTCGAAAGGTCTGAGGTGGAGAACTGAATATACTTACTTCTCCTCAGGGACCAATTATTAGTTACCCGGGGCAGTGGGGGGTAAAGGATTTTGGAGGATGACATGATTTCAAGGGGAAAAGGAGGGGGGGACTATAGAAATTGACTGCTAATTTTAAAACTGCCAATGAGTGGAGATCGTAAGAATATTACAGAGCCTTGACTGAGAGGGGAGGGAGGGAGCGATCTGGTTAATTTTATCGTGACACAACCAAAATCCTCTGACCCCCCTCCCTCGGCAGTAAATTATAGCTGGTATCAAAGTAATGTTTATCATCTCTTAATGCTAAAAGATTTTGCTAATAGCTTGATACAGGAATATACGATGAGTCTAGTTTTCAGTGTGTCCCCTACTGGATTGTGATAGAGCCTAAATACCCTAAACACCTCACTTTTTTTATTCGTTACATTTAGGTATTTGGTCCTGCGAAGATGCTAACAACCTTTTCAAGTAAGTGATACCAAATGATTACCTTTTCGAGCATAAAAAATGTCAAAATTATCGAATAGTTTCGATGTCGAGAGAACATTTTTTGCCGCAAACTAAAATGATCACGCATGGATTTCTTTTCGTGTCAAACAGGTCAAACGCCAGTCAATTGGTTACATTAGGCCTTGACTCTAGACCAATCACAGTTCTCTGTCAGATGAGAGATTCTAGATGCGGAGATGGAGGATGGACGCCTGTAATGAAGACTGACGGCAACAAGGTAAGCCTCATATAGCGGAATATTCTTGGTGGGGTTTTCTTGCGAGTGACGAAGCGAAAGCAAGACATTTTCAGAAGCGTCAATACTACGAGAGAATCTCTCAGTAACTCGCCAATATTCTTCTCACGGCCCCTGCCTGCGGAAATTCTTCTGCATAAGTGCTACAATACCCTAATATCTAAAAACGCGACAAATTTCTAATTAACCCGCCTACAAGTAGGGTATAGATTGATGGCTTGTACACTAACTGTATTACTGATTTCACGAGGGTCCTTCCTTTGGTGATGCATCGTGTTATTTAAATTTAAGGATGAATTAAATCCTCTTAATTCTTTTTAGGCAACGTTTCACTACGACTCTCACTACTGGAGTGATAAAAACCAATACAACATCCCCGGCGGGAGGACTGGGTTTGACTCACAAGAGACCAAGTTACCGACCTATTGGAACACACCTTTCTCCAAGATCTGTTTCGGTATGAAGATAAGTGGAGAGCTCAGGTTTATTGTCATTAACAAGCAGGCCAACTCTCTGTACTCACTGATTGCTGATGGGACATACCGCGCTACTTCACTGGGTCGTAACGAGTGGAAGAAGTTGATTGGTGCGAAGGGCTCTTTGCAAAAGGGCTGTAACAAGGAGGGCTTCAATACTGTAGGTACTGCAAGTGATAATTCTAAAGCAAGAATTGGTTATATAGCTAACGAGCAGAACGATTGTGACACTTGTGACTCCAGAATTGGTTTTGGTACCGGAGGATCTCCTGATAACTCCAATACGTGTGGAAACGCAGCAGCTTATTCCCCAGATAACGGTAACAGAAATATCAAAGCTATGGGATATATTTTGGTGCAGTAAACTCTTTCAATCCATGTATTACGTTAGAAAACTCACGAAGAATGGGGGAGGGGAGGTGGGGTACTGAAGAGCTCTTTTCCATCTATCCATCCCTCTCCTTTCTCCCCTCAAACGCCAAAGTGAGAACTTCCTAAGTAGACTATAGATTGCTTGCTGTTTAGTTCGGCTTCTAAATTGATTTTTTTCCAATATGCGGCGAGTGCGAAGACGGGAAGAGACTTGAATAAGGACTTTACCCGCATGGGTTCCATTTGTACAACTTTTTGAGCCCTAAGTTTTACGGAAATTCAGTCGACTGGTTACTAAAACTACTGTGATGTTTAAATCTTAAAAAAGAAGTAAAGCCAGGATAGCAACACGAGAACATTTTCAGGCACTCGCCAAACATTACCACTAATAGGCCTTTGCTGACCAAATCATATTGAGCTTTATCTGTTTTGCTTTTTGCATATTTCTTTGACAACCCTTAGCTCGTGATTTACAAACCTCTCTTCCTCCTCCAACATCCCACGTGAGTTATTAAGCCAGTAAACTGATAGAAAGTGTGGTCTATTGTTTAATTATTACTAATTATTATTACTAATAATAACTATTATTAATTATTTTTAATCATTAAGATTTGCGAAGTAGCCCTTAATGCAAGTACGTAATCAGTTGTAAAGACGTTTTAGTATACCTAACACCAGGGCCCAGTTGTATAAAGGGGGGATAACGCTATCCAACAGATAAATCGCCATCCAGCGGATAAGTGATAGCAAACCGTATAGCGTTATCCACCAGATAGAGATTTATCCAGTGGATAGCGTTATCCTCTCTTCGAACAACCGGGGCCTGGACTGTACAAAGAAATACGTCCGACACAAGAACCTTATTATACTGCAATTTCTCCACAACCGCTAGAAAAAGTGCATATGATAATTTGATAACAATAGGTATAAAATAAATGAAAAACAATTAAGTCATTATTCACCACTTGGATGGTTTATTTGGATCCAACATAATGACCAGCTCCCAACTGGCTCGTTAGCTCAGTTGGTAGAGCGCTGCAACGGTGTCGCAGAGGTCATGGGTTCAAATCCCGTATAGGCCTGAATTTTTTTCAGGTCTTATTTCAACTACTAGTGCAGTAGTGTTCATAGCTGCGAGGATCGTTTATATTCGTTTCTTCACCGCAGTGAACAAATATGATTTTTCATATATTTGCAGTTATTAGGCAAAAGAATATTTGAATAAAAATAAATTGAAAAGAGGGGCGCCGAGACACCATATTAGAAACGCCACAGTAAGACAATACAACTAGTGATTAGGCCTCTAGTAATACATTCTAATTCAAATTATAATTAAGTAAAAAATCTTTGCAATTAAAAGAGTTACAGTACAGTGGAACAATCTTGGAATTGAATGTTCACTGTAAGTAAGTGACTTAACTTATTACTTTATTTCAACTCGGGTTACTGAGGCTTATTGGGCCCCTAGCAGTTCATACTAATATGCCGAAAAAAGTAAAATATATCAACGAAAAGTTGAAAAATGACTAATGACTAACTTTCTAATTACTTTAAGTAAGTAAACAATCTTAACTCTTAAAAATTATAACAGTGAAAAGATCTTAATAGACTGTACATTGCAAATGTAGCTCTCTTACAGCATTCCTAAATTCCTTAAGAATTGTCGTTAAGCGTAGTTCATCCGGTAAGGAATTCCACACTTTGGCACCAATAAAAGATGTAGATTTTAAGCCAAGGGTTATAGTATTCTTACTTGCGACGACGACCTTGTTGGTGCCTCTTAAGTTTTTCACATCATTTTGTACGAAAAATAAGTCTGCCTATATATTCCGGTAACATGCCGTTTACAGCTTTAAAAATCAATATAGCAATGTCCTGTAGTCGACGATTAGACAAAGTTAAACCGCACTCATCATTGCCATAAAGGGGCACCCGTTTGTTGTAGACACACCTTAACGCTCTCGCATTAAGCCTTTCCAGCTTCTGATTATATGACTCATTACAGTTGAGCCAAATAGCAGAACAGTAAGTGAAGTAAGACGTTACGAACGAGTTGTAGAGGCACATTTTCAAGGAAATTGATAGCATGTTCTTAAGTCTGGTCAAAGCATTCAACTACTTTCCAACTTTCTAGTTAGTAATCTTGGCAATGTGTTTGCTAAAATTTAGCGAGTTAACGATAGTTACACCTAAAAGATCTAAATGGTCTACGATTGGAACCTGCTCATCATTAATACTAAAGGAAAGATCACTAGGATAGCTTTTTGGAAGAATAATACACTTGCATTTCTCGGGATTGAGCACTAGCTTGTTATCATCAAACCGACGACTTGCGACAGCGAGATCGCCATCGATTACGGACTTTACCACCTCAGGATCGCGATCACTAAAAAAATTTGGTTATCATCAGCATAGTTGGACAAATTAGCACGATTAATATAAGAGAACAGATCGTTAAGAAAAATATTAAAAAGGAGGGGCCCTTAAACCGATCCCTGGGGTACACCCTTAGAGAAAACAACAACATCTGAAGTAACATCTTCTATCCTCACGCGCTGGGACCTGTCTCTAAGGTAACTGTGTACGAGGACCAGGCTAGGTGGAGAAACACCATAGGCAGCCAGCTTGGCAAGGAGGAGGTCGTGCGATATCATATCAAAAGCTTTACTCCGATCCATAGAAACTGCGCCAACAAAACATTTCCTCGTTACAAGGAAATTTGTGCTCTGAAAAGTAGCTAAAAAGCAAACTTTATTGAGAATTAATTATACATTGGTACGTTTATTTCGAAGTTCTCTATGTAAATTATTGAGTTAACACGTAAATGGGAACCCATTTTAACAACTTATCAAAAATTTATAACAAAAGACTCTTTAAAAGGTTTTTTTTTGTCATAAATCTTTAATGATATGTATAGGTTTCCAACGTTTAATAATTGTTCATAACCCACGTGCGGGATTTCTGTTTCTTTTGCCAAGTCATCTGTATTCTCAATTGAGTTTTCGTTGGCAAGTTTTTCCTTAAATAGCAACTTCCCTTCGTCAGAAACTGACATAAATGTACTCGAAATTTTTTTTCCAATAACACTGCAGTCGCAAACTTGTCAACGGGAAAACTTATCACGACAGGTTACACTTCCTTTATTATTATTTTTATTATTATTATTATTATTATTATTATTATCATGTAAGTAAATGCTCATTGCA